TTTTATTTATTTTAATATTTATTTTCCTTCTTTTTCTCTCCTCCACTAACGAGGGAAACCCATCACCAACTTTCCTTGCCCAAGTGTTGAGAGGAGGACGCCAAGGTGAGCAAGGATAAAATTCGCCCTAGCCCAGCTTTTTGTAAGAGGAGTGGCCTACCAAGGTATTCAAGGAGTGCCCGGCCCAACTTTTTGAGAATGAAGCATTCGGCCACTTTTGTAAGTATATGTCTGGCTACTTTTGCAAGGATATGCCCGACCACTTTTGTAAAGGGAAGCGCCCAGCCATATTTTTGAGAAGGCACCATGGCCTTTGAAGAAAACACCTCAGCCGTATTTTTGAGAAGGCGCCATGTCCTTTGAAGAAAAGACCTCGGCCACCTTTTTGAGTAAGCACTTCGGCTGCTAGGAATTCTCCGACCACTAGGAATTCTTGGCCGCTAGTAATTCTTTCGCAGCTAATAATTCTTCGGCTGCTAGGAAATCTCGTTCGCTAGGAATTCTTCGCCGGCTAGGAATTCTTCCTTGGCAAATTGGGTGAATTTTGACCACCCCCAAACAAGCATATCCTTGGTTTGTGTCACCTCATCAAAGTAAGTGTTAAAGGTGATGTAATGAGAACCAGATATACTCTTTGTTAGAAGATAAAAATCTTCCAAAAACGTATGCAAACTTCGAAATTTACTCTAATAAACTTCATTTATGGGACTCTCTCATCACACTCACTTCCACCTTTTTTTTTTTTTTTTCAAACCCAGCTCACTCCCATCTTCTTTCATTTTATTTTTTCAGTTCACATTCACTTCTATAGAATTGGATCATGCTCCAAAAGCCTATCAAATATTTTCTCAAACTCCATTGCTGCATTTATCATCAAATATGTTGAATTCCATCTTGTTTTAACATCTAAACACATAACCTTCTTGCAAGTTACACTCTCCTTCAAAGCACATTTTTTAAAATTTTGCAAACATGATGAACTACTCCTCACATACTTAACACTTCGACGAAGACGCTTGATGGTTGTCTTCACCTCTTCGATTCCATCCCTCACAACCAAATTGATGACATGTGCAAAACACCTTACATGAAAGAACTCTCCACCTAATAACATCATATTTCTCTTGTTAAATCGTTTCTTTAAATTTGTAACACATGTATCATTATTCTTCGCATTATCAAGGGTGATCGTCATAACCTTTTCTATTCCCCACTCTAAGAGGCAATTTTCTATAGCCTTTGCAATAACCTCTCCTTTGTGTGGATGTGGAAGAACTTGAAAATTTATGATTTTCTTTCTAAGGACCCAATATTTTTCCATAAAGTGAGCTGTCAAGGCCATATACCCAATATTTTGAATTAAGTCCACAAATATGTTATGATGCATATTCGTGCAGAAATCTCTTTGAAATAATCTTTTAACTTGCTTTTTCCCTCATGATGTATTTGTAAACAATTCTTTGTGATCGTGGTTCTGGAAACCACATGAAATTTTGGCTGTATAACTTCAAAAATATCCTAAAGCCTTCCTTTTCTATAAAGCTAAATGGGAGTTCACAAAGAATAATCATTTTTGCAAGAAATCTCCTACATAGCTCCTGGTCAAACTTCTAGTTGCAAGTTTAACCTCCCATTATAGAAATTAGTGTCTGTGCATTATCTTGTTTATCACGAGGAAACTTTTTACAAGTCATAGTATGAGACCATAGATTATTGGTGCCAATCTTAGAAGATGCAGTAATTCTAGCTTCACAAAACATACAAATTGCAATTCCTTTGTATTTCCCAATTTCCTCCTCCAAACTTTCTTAAAAAAATTCCATACCTCAGATTTTCCATGGTTTCTAGCTAAGCCAGACTTCTTGGTAATTGTTTGCTTCTTTGGATTGCCACGAATGGTAGCTTGCTCAGGAATCTGGTCAGGAACTTGATTAGGAACCTAAGGGCTATGATCCACGTCCTGTGCCATTTTTAGATCTACAATAAACATATAAAATAATCAGGCAATCTATTCGGTGTAATAGAAAAAGACAGATGATAACAAAAAGCTTCCACTTAAAGGAAAACGCAAGACGTGTATTATTGTGATTACAGTGGTATAAGAATTTAATACCACAAATTATGCAATAAACACCGATAATGGATGGCACACAAGCACTAAAGAATGACACATAAAATTAGAAGACCAAACCCTGTAAGACTTAAAATAAAATAATTTATGTTAACACCCTTAAAACGAAAAAGAAATTGAACTAGCAAAGTAATGAAAGCACTTTTTTTTTTCTTTTCAATATTCCTTTCTAATTGGGTAGACAAGTTAACAAATTCAATTACTCAATAATACATAAACAAGATCTTGAGAAAATAAAAAAGAAACTTATGATAGAGATTTTGGTGTAGACTTGCAGTGGCAGTGGTATTGCAAAGGGAAGGAGGTTAATAGAATTGACGAAAATGTTTGAAGTTCCATCTTGTTTTCTACTCTAGTGAAGAGAGAAGAGTCATTTGGTTTTCCAAGAAATGGAGTGAAATCTTTTTGCTACTTGTTGGGGAAGAATACGAGAGGGCTTTGATCTGGATGTAAAGTAAAAGACTCTCTCACATTTTCTCAACAAAAAAAAAAACTCTCTCCTTATAAGTAATATGCATGTAATGATATTAAACATTATAGCCGAAGAGGACTTAGTCATTACCAAACTGTAAGTTATTTATTTTCCTAGCTTTTGAAAAAGTTTTGCAAATGGCTTGGATGGAATCATGACAACTTCGTTTTTGTATTGAATTATACTAGTTTTCAGTTAGGTGGGATACTTTTGGGTTTAAAGATCATAATTGGACAACTTCTTGTATATAAAAAATACCATAAGTTCAAATAGGTAAATGTTTTGAATTTTGTTACATAAATTAAAAAGAATTTTGATTGCAAAATAGGTAAAAAGTAGAAAAGTATCATATTTCACGGAAAATTGATAATTCATTATATTTTAATGTTCTATTATAATTACTATTGCTTTCTTATAGGTATTTCATGCTTAACTTTCCTCATTATTACAACTTTCAGGGATTTTTCTTCTGGCATTCTTAGGTCCCGTATGGTTCATGGGAAAGGAGACTTGGGGATGCGAAATCAATTGTTTTCCCGTGTTTGGCAAGTCCAGGCATGGGAAATCGTTGTCTAGCCCATGAGAAAGTAGGGGGAAAAGTGAAATCATCCTCCCAACTTGGGTTTTGTTTTCCCTTCTCATGGGAAAGTTTGGGAAAATAAGCCAATATTAAATAAACATTTTTCATGACCATTTTGTCCCCATTAATAATTTAGAATTACAATATATCATTAAATGCATTTTTTTATTTGATTTAATATAAGTATTTTCATATGGGTATAATTGAAAATTTATACAAACTTTGTTTTCCATTCCTACTTAAAACAAACATGGGAAAGAAAATAAAGTGATATCTCCCGGTTACTTTCCTAGCATTACCAAACATGGAAAATGAATCTTCCATTTCCCATCCCTTCAAAAATGACATAGGAAATGATTTCCCCCCAAATTCGTTCCGTGAACCAAACGGGGCCTTAGAGGGTCTGATCAAAATAGCATTCTTAAAGGGCTAGCTCCTTCAAGTATCACTAAGCTAACCCACCTAATAGGCTTGCTTGTTTAAAGAGCCATTCCTTTTGGTTTTTTAGTGTTGGATTCTATTGATTTATAACTCTAATTTCAATGCATTGCTGTCTTTTACTTGTGAAATGTAGGAACCTCAGCCACAATGGCTTTACTGGCGATATTCCAGCATTTCTTCCTACCTCCTTGTTGATCTCAGTGTAATTTTCTCTTTGAAATTCTGCGTTGATGGAAATTTCTATTTGCGATTTAATAAATAGCCATCCAACTGCACTAATGAAATACTAACACATGCAATATTTGTTAACCGAAAAGATTATTATGAAATTTGCAAATAGCTTGCATTTCTTAGGTAGGCTCCTTTAAGGTCATTATATGATGCATTAGGAAGGCCTCCTGATGCAGGACGCGAAGGACCTAAATTTATTAGTTTCCTAATGTATTTGTTAGCTTCCTAGATTCTCTACTTTTCCCAATTCTAGTAAGATTTCTACTTTTCCAGATTTCCAGATTTCTAGTTTTTAAGTTTCCCATTTTATTTGGGTTAGGATTTCTGCTTAAGCAAGGGATTTTTATCCTATTATGTCTAGGTTTCAGTTTGCTATAAATATGCCCATGTAGTTCTTTAAAATTCAGATTTGAATGTTGAGTAAACTTTTTCCTAGAAATCTCTGATTTCGTCCCTTCGATCTATATTTCTTCCTCTCGATCTTTGATATTCTTCTTTGTTCTACTGTTTCTGTCCTTTATCTCATCTTTTCAGTCTGTATTTCTTCTCCCCAGTCTCTTATATTCTTCTATGTTCTATTGTTTAAAGTGCTTAATCTAACACTTGCGTGCTGTACTACATCAATTGGTATTCAGAGCCTCTTGCTCCACTACTGCTACTCTGCTTTATTGCCTCTACTTGTTGTCATGGCTCCCAACATCATCGTTGTCAAATTAGCTTAACAACATCAGGAATTCAAGGCGAAAATTTCTGCGAATGTCACCAAATTGGAAAATTAGGTCGCTAAATTGATGGCTGATCAAAAGATTGAATTTTTGTCCGTGTCAACAGATATTGCCAAGTTACAAGCTTTTGTGATGCTACTCGTCAACCACATCTCAACCGCAACTCCTGAGCCATCTTCCACATCCCCTGTTCTCTCCGGTTTTTCTCCACAGGCTAGTCTCCTTCCCAATCCATCTATGGATTCCAAGTTCCAAGACCACCTGAGCCTTCCATTATCTTCCGTATGATCTGCGCCTAAACCCCATTATACCCAACATACGATGTGTTCTCCTTTGGTGGACGCTACTATCCCTCCCCTGCCGCCCCGACCACATGAACATAATTTTGTCCACCTAAACTTGGATTTTGAGATTGCCCATCATGCCAAGCCTACTGCTCCCAACATCGATGGTCGCTGAGATCCTACTCTCTTTGTTGATTGGATATCGGCTATGGAACATTATTTTGAATTGTATGATATGTACGATGTACAACGGATCCGATTTGCCAAACTCAAACTGGTAGGAGCTAGAAAGCAATACTGGAGGGCTACTAAGCATCATCTTCAACAACTCGGACAAACCCCTGTGATTTTATGAGATGAGATGAAATTGAAACTTCGGAAACAATACCTTCCATCTTTTTATTGTCACCAATTATTAGATCAATTATGGACTACTTCAACAATCCATGACTATTATTCCTTCTTTGTGGAGCACAAATTGCGTTCTACCATATAGGAAGAGCTCTCAGTTATAGTTTCTCATTTTCTTCATGGCCTCAGGGATGATCTCAAACACGAGGTAAGTAGGTCATGTCCGGATATGTTGGAGGACACCTATCGTCAAGCCTTGGAAGTTGAGACATATTTGTCCCCACAACATTCAAAATATTCTGGTCAACTTGCAACTGCCAACCTAACTCATGCCACGACGAGTATGGAGACGGGGTTTTCAGGACCATCTAACCCTACAACACAGCCACCTAACAAAGGACTAGTTGTTTTCACTAATGCTCGCTTTGAATGTGTTGGCTGCGCAAATCTCATGGCCTGGTGCTCCGGGCCAAGAGGATGTGCGTTAACACGTGACGTCCTTCTTTGGATGAGGTGTGGTTGTGCGCGGGCGTGCCAGCACAGTCTACCGTGCGTCGAGATGGTGATGAGGTTTGGGTCGAAGATGGTTTAAATGATGCGCCTGTTTCGAGTTTGACTCCTGATCAAACGATTGTGGCCAAGAGAGAAACTGATCTCGGCCGTCAGGTTCACGGCCTGAGCTACAAGGCCGTTTAATAGTGGTGTTGGTGGCGGGTTTTAGGCGGTGCTCCGGCGCGTTGCTCAGAGAGCGACGGTCGTATGATATATGTGGTGAATGAGATGACAACAAAGGTGGTGCTCCAGAGCCTTGAAAATCAAGGGTCGTATGATATATTGATGAATGGATTTTCCTTACAATCTACCACTACTCCTAGGAAAGCAAATAAAGGTATTGAAAGTGCATTACAGGAAAATATAATTTGCTCTGTGGGAGGCTTTTGGTTTGGTGTTTGAACCCTTTGAATGTAGTCTTGAGATTA